CGTGCAGGCTGGAAACGAAGTAAGGCTTGCCTCTTTTTATATGCTTCTATTGTGCTTACAGTAGAGCCATATTTAAATCGGTATGCAGGCTGTCACCGAAACACAAATAAATAAGGAGGAGAACGACATGTTCCCTTACATTTTATTCCCGTTAACACGACACAGCTGGAGTGTTTTTCTTGCCTCGTGCCCCACGTCCCAGGGCCGCTCACCGGGCTGCGGAGCTGCTCTGCACCCACGGCCACCTCTGCAGTGCACGCCGATTTACTGAAGGCAACTAGCCCAAACCAGTGCCACAGATGCTTGTAAGCTGCATCTGGCCCACTCGCACATAAAAACAATGGTGCTGATGATGGACGAGTCGAAAGGTGTCTAGGGTCACGTGTGCGGGGTATTTAAGCTTAAAGACAGATGCCTACAGGATTTGTAAAAGACACTCGGTGACTTCTTTAGTGTTCTTGAAAGAAGCTGAGGACCTAACCCATCAGCAGAAGGCGTTTTGCTCTACACTGCCAAGTTGGCCCTAGAGAAGTTAAGCGACAGCAGAACACGTTGCTCAGTGAATAGGGCATATGGTTTGCACAACGGCGGACGTACGTGTGAGCAACAACCAACGGGTTGCTATACAGCCCCACTGTATTTCCAGTGCTGTATGGCTGCAAAGGAACCTGCTCCTCTGTTCCTCCGTGTGCTGGGATTGCCTGGCTGCTGATGCGAAAGCTCTCTGTGCCAGGCAGGGTGTAGGGGGAGACTTTCTGCCCACGCTTGCAGCCCTGTGCACCTTTCCCCCTCAGCCTTCCCCCAAAGCAGCCTTGACGTCCCTGGGAAAGAAACATCAAATGCACAAGTGCCAGATAAAGCAGGAATCTGGGCTGCAGAAAGTTCCCAGCTGAGCCTTCAAGCGCCTTCAGCAGCATACTTTTAGCCTTCGCATGGTGGCCTGCCGTAGGATATACAAAGCACCTCAAACAATATTCCGGCAACCTTGCAAAATTTCTCTCTTGCACATACACACGTGCACAAACGTTGCACACCCCCCACCCTGATTTCAATAATTCTTGGGCGGATTTACAATTTCCTAAGCAGGTTGCTATAGTGACCCTGCAGAATATTTTTTCAAAACATTGTTGTAGTGTAAATGTTTACATACAGCATAATCCTGCCAAATTGTCTTAAGACAAAGGAAAACATGAAGCGTCTTTGCTTTATGTCCAGGCTTCCAGCTTTTTTAGCACTGAGAATGTACTTTCAACTAACAGCAGCAGCTAATTATGCCTTTCTGTGGGCTTGCACACCCTCAGGCCTAATAATGGGTCATCTATTAGCTTTAATGAATAACAAAGCTATCGGATTTACTAGTGTTAGCTGATTTCACGCATTTCTGAGTAAATTCTGAGTTAACTGAAGGGCTGGGGCTTAGCTCAAGGCCCAGACACCCAGTTGGTACAAATCAGTGTCACTTGATGGAAGTAATAAAAATGTTGATGCTGGGGCAGGACGTTACTGATGAACATCAGTAAATTTTTCTTGTAGTCTTTGTAATCTGGATAATTAATGGAACGATTTAATAATTTTTAGATAACATATGTCAGAAAAAAATACATGGTTCCTGTTTTAATTCACATTCTTCTGGATTCCAGCAAGACAGAGCACCAGTCAACGGAATATATAAGTATTTGCTCATTGTGTTTTAAACACTGTAATGTTCCTATATCAACATTAACAGTAGTGTGATTTATGATTACAGAACACATACATAGCTATCGAATGTCTCCCGTGCCTCTACTCTGTTTCTAAGATACTAAAGCAAAGTCCAGAGCATAATATAATTTACAGCACTATAAAATCTTTTACAACTGAAGCACAGTGAAAGCTTAATATCCAAGACCTTCTGTAATATGACTATGTCATCTTGTTAAAACTTTATTTATGGGAACACTAGGGTTGACAAGAACTTTCTTCATGTCACTTCCCTACTGATTATCAATATCACCTTTCTCACTTCATGGTGTTCATAGGAGGAGGTCTTCCTTTCAAAAACATAGGTTCAGATAGATAACAGACTGTTTCCTCAAAGTTTATGTTCTAGTTACGGCCTTAGATCACTTGCCCAAGATCATGATCTCTTCTTTCCTAGTACGAATGTACAATGCTCTATCCACGACAACAGATAATTCAAAGCATTCAGACCTAAGACAAATTCTGAAGCACCATTACCTGAACTTTCTGTGGTTTCTTTTCCCAAAAAAACAAACCAAACCAAAATCTTACGATTCTTGGATCTGAATTCTCCTCCAGTTCTGCTGTCAGGATTTCAAAATACATCATACACCAGAAAGGCCTTATTTTGTCACAACCCTTTAGATGCCAGAGGAGACTGGCACTGTTAATTCTTGTCATTTCTACTGCTTAAGAGAGCAAAAATCTTGGGACCCCATCACCTCATGAGACTTCCATCATCTGAGCAAAAGCGACGCAAACTTGTGCCTGCCCAATCTTGGCACAAAGGTGTACGAATGCGAAGCTCTGATTAACTCCGATCTGGCCTGAGAACGAAACCATCATCTCTAGTTTTATCTTAACTTAGCACTGGGTTGGAAAACACTCTCCTTGAACTTTGATTATGCTGTAGAGCAAGGCAAAAAAGGTTAAAAAAAATCCAACAATCTTAAAAGTATTTTTCCTCTGCTTTCAGAGAGCCACACAGTGTCTTTCTAAACCTCAAATAGGGCCAAAGCAAGACCTCAGCTGACAGCTTGGGAAAGTATCACAGTTGTCCCTTTTCACACCCATCTCTCCCTCCATCACCCACCACAAGTTACACAAATTATTCGATCTGCTCAGCATTTCAGCCCTGGTTTCACTGGTCAGGACGCCAGGTCAGCTGGGAACGTCCTGCCAGCGGGAAGAGGTTGATCACTTGGACACCAGTCCTTTCCAGCACCACGATCACCCTCTCCTGCAACTTCACCGTACTGCGGGAGAATTTCTCACTCCATAACCTCTGGATAATTTCTAATTAATAATTTCTAATTCCATAATCTCTGGACTGAGAATATTAAAAATTAATTCTAGCATGGTATTACCAATTAAATACTGGTTGAGGAAGGAACGTGTTCAGAATAAAAGTGATATGAATGAGTAGGTAGGCATATTTTCACCCTCAAGATATAACTTCTTCATACTTTTCTGGCAAGGAAAGGGAATCTTAAAATAGAAATAAACTACAGCCCCTTTTCTGTTTGGTTAAAGTAGCCTTAGAACAAACAAGAAACAGGCCTGCACATCTTAAAGGCATGGCAGCTAAGTCTGAAAACACATCTCATCTAAGTGTAATTTCCACTAAGAGATCTGATTCCTCAGGCTTGCCATTGGTTGAGAACATTTTCCTATCAAGGAATTCAATATTACATTCACGGTCTTTAATGTAAACTGACCAAATATGTTATACAAAGCATCCACAGATTTTCATCATCTTTGCTCACGCTGTCGAGTGCCTAAGTCCGTGAGCAGTGTCCTACAAATAAAAAGGGCTCCTTGCACAGAAAGGCATTACTAACCGTGAACACGGGTAGCGGATTCTGCGTTATATTATCCAGGACTCTACAGAATTAAACTAACACAAAAATGTGTAATTATTACAGTAGCCAAATACACGTATAGCTCTGCTCTATATTAGTAGAAACCTGCACTGTTACATTTACTACCACGGTCCTAAGCTTCAGTCACCGAGATTCTTTATAAACATGACAGCCCTCTAAAATTCAAAACTTCATCTTGTCCCGATACAGCAGTTAAATCTGGAATCAACCAGCATCGCAGAAAAACTTCAGCCCTCCTGGCACTTCTTCAACAAAGAACATGTTTGTACTATTGATTGTACTGCTGAAAATAATTTTGCTGTGTTGACAGGCCTCACTCAGCACAGATTGTAATGAAAAGCTGAAAATTAGAAAGTTAAATGAACACCTGCAACAATTTTCCTGCCAATTTTACAACAAAATAAATATTGAATTATTCTGATAAGTGGGTCAAATTCATCCTTGGTGTCATGGCCCTTTGAGGTTAACAGCGCTACGACAGGCGTGAATTTGGCTCCTGTGTCTTTTTCACAGAGCAAATGCTTCACTGAACTTTTCAAACGCCCTGTGCCAACATTCATCTCCCTTCAGAACCCATCTTTCCCTCTTTACTGAGCTTTTGCAGCAAAGCCATAATTTTCCTATCAACTTGCAGTCAGTTACGTTGACAGTTTGACATGAATATTGTACGTACAAGAAATAATTTGCAAAACAGCTTTTTCAATTGTTAGACTTAACAGTCATTTCCATCATACATAATCTTCTTTGACGTGTATAATTCCACAAGCTATCCTTCCGGGAAGAATATGCATCCCGCTGTATCATAGCTGCTTAATAGCTTTTTACATACCTGTGGTGCTGCAGAGACTTTATGAAAAAGATACTATTATGCAGCTTGGTTTTCATCCTGTCCTTTTTTTTTCTTTTTTATTCTATTGCTAGCAGAAGCTGAGGGACACATTATTTTTTTCTTGCAAAGCAAGCAAAAATTTTATTTTTCCAATCTACAAGTGCTTATGTAGCAAGAAATTCCTGTAAGTCCCAGGAAATCCACGGAGGGTTACAGCATCTTGATTAGATTCCCCCCAACTCGTGTTTGGGGAGGTTCTGATACTCCAACAGCAGAGAATTGTGTGGACGTGATGAAAAACATTTTCTGCAGATCTGCTACGGAGAGCAACACTCTGTTGGGTTTCCTTATCCCCATTACAGTCTGCTCACACCTGTGGATGTCCAGCTACCTCATTTAGTGAGAAGGGCTTCAGAAGACACCCAGGAAGCAAAAAGCAGCCAAAAGATTATCATGTGAATGGTTTCAAGGGCCATTGATCCCTGTTTTCGGGACATTTGCCCTTTCAAACTGCAAATATAAGTCAAAGCAGAGTCTCCGATTTTAAATTTCGAGAAAGACTACTTTACCAGCTTTTGGCATCCGCGTCGTGTTCTGTAGGTACTCTCCACTCTTATACAGATTCAGAACTCTCTCTAGCTGAGCAGCCGTCTCATCTATTCCCCACTGAAGTTCTCCTTTAAAAGCACAGAAAAAGAACGAGTTAGATGAGAAGCAACCTGCACAGGACAAAACGAGATTGCATTCAAATAAAGCCCTAACCTTCAGAGCCCAGCGGTGCCCTGCTCTACAACGGCGTTGTGATGTGGACGTGAAGTCCATGAGTTACTACAAATTGGGTTTCATACCTGACATGAGCCAGGCTTGTCAAAGGCTGGCTCGTCCAGCTGGGAACCCCAGGCCTGCGGGCAGAAAACACGGCGGTGAGCTCCCCACGAGGGACGAACTTTAGCCAATATAGGGAACTCCAATGGCTTTGCTTGTTAATTAGCTATAGCCCAGCATCATTAACTTCCCCGTTGAATACACAGTACAAGGTATAAAACCCCTAGAACGACGCACCAAAAACCCTCAAATCAGATTTACATGCACATGCAACTACTCTTGTCCCAAAGGCACTGCCTCGGTAAATACTAAAGATCTATGCTAATGTCACTTGCCTCTGGCTTCTGAGGTAGAGAAGCACCACTGGTACCACTGGCAATGGGAAAGTATCCTGTTTTTATCATCAAAATTCCCCTTGCCAGAGACAGGGGCTCCTCCAGATCCCACAAGGAATTGCATTCTGATGCAGTTCACCCCCAGTGAACTATTGCAGTGAACATAAAAGTAGCATCCCCCACATCCCAAATGTGATAGTCACACTAAAAAAGGAAATACTTGGCATTACCATGTTTATTGCAATTACCTGTTGCATTGACTATCTTATCCAGTAATGGTCTCAGTGAGGATGGAGCACTGTGTGGAAGAAGATACGTAAAAAAAAACCTGCAATGGAAAAGAAACCCATATTGAAAAATTTTTTAAAAAGAGTTTACAAATGTCTGGTAACTACTGAACAACATAAGGAATAAAATTCCTATTGCTTATAAGCCACTGACCTATTCAGGAAATATAATCATATTCTATAGTCAAATAAATATATAGCTGAGACTATTCATACAGCTGTCTGGCATACCTAGACCATGCTGTTATATACAAGGCTGCCTTGTAACTACGTGTAAATGTTCCATTAATACAGAAATTTGCTATGAAGCCCCGTGGATTGTGACTATTTGCAAAGATGTCTGTACTTTAACAAACTAAAAGGATGCCATCAACCCAGAAGTCTTGGGTTTTTTTCAGACCTTGAAAGTGCATAAATCAAATTTCTGCTCGTTTCAAATAACTGAAAGCCTTCTTCTATTGTTTTAATGCCACTGCAATTCAGAATGTCTTCTCTCTTCTCATCATTGATCTAAATTCAGGATGCATTCATGTAGATATTCATCGATGGATGTATAATCTCCATTTTAGCATTTTCAATTACAAAAGAAAAAAACAACAGGTCTTTACCATCACTTGAAGTACACTTAATTTTCACATTGTGCCTTTAAATTTCTATTACTCTGCCAATATTACTACCCACTGCAAACTCAGTGTCATAGCAACCCAAGACGGAGAGGGACAGTTCAGGATCTGACAATATAAACGGAACTATCAGACGTAAATATTAGGTAACGAGCAGAACAGGAACACAAGGGGGAAATTGCCCTGCTTTACATCTAACCTGCAAAGCAAAGCAAACGCTTTTTCATATACAGAGACCACATTGTCAAACGGAAACCTCCAGGGACTCATGCTCAGGAGGGAGACTAGCAGACGTCTCACATAAGCACAAATTAAAAAATTAAGTTACTGATAGCAAAAATTGATCATAGGCACAAGTACTATTGAGCTGACATATTCCACTTACACAATGAATATTTCCTTGAGATTTTAACTCCCTTTTTCATCCCTTACAAAAACAGTACTTACGATTTTCCCAAGTGGGATTATCCCCAGGTAGGTTTTCTTAGCGATGAGTATGAAACAGCCAATATAACTACATACAGAAATCTAAAGAGCAGCATAACATTTGTAATGAAAAATTCGTCTGGTAAATTTTACCTCACTTTTTTTGCTTAGAGATTATCTATAAAGCAGAGTCTGACTGATTGTGAATAGTTCTTTGCAAAAATTCAGTAGCTGTCATTTGCTAAATGCTGGATGGATGAGAGTCAAAGAGGTTATTGTTTTTCCGTGGCTCCAGAAATATACGACTTGTTCTAATGCAAACACCCATATGTGAAATTCTGACATGTAGAGACACTGGCGCCTGCACAACTTAATTGCAGGAACATTTGTTATTCATCGATTGCAGGACCAGTGGCATCCCTTGTGATCTGCGTAACGCAGATTGTCAGATCCTTTTACGTTTGTTCCTACAGCCTTTTTTTTCCTTTCTTTTTGAGAACTATCTGATCTTAATTTCAGAATTGTCAATGATGGAGAATTCATCTCAGCCATTGGTTAATAGTTCAAAATTTTCATTCTCCTTACTTTTAAAACTGTCCAGTGCTTTGAAAATTGTTCCTCCAAACATCTGGAGGAAAACCCATAGAGACACATTTGTGACAGAAGGTACCCATCTGAAAGGCAAGATGGGCCAGTTCTTGTATGGTAGAGTTTTTTCCAAAATGTTTTCTCTCCTTTAATTATTTACCTCATAAAGAAACCAGCTAGATAGGCTAATTACGCTTTCAAGGCTAGGGCCTGCTATATTTTGAAACTGCAAGGGGTTTATGCACTGTTTGACATATTGCTGCTTTTGACTTCTACCTAACAGCACGAGCAACCCTTTCCTCTCTAACTCTACAGCAACAGAGTGCATCCACAAAAACATGGAATTTCATTGCCTGTGCCTAATGAACTGAAGATTCAGCCTTCCAAGACAAGTGCACAGAGTTTGTTGCTAACGCCTTAGCACGGGTGGTCGCAGCCCACTATAGCATGAATCTGCTGTTGAACAAAAACCCGCTGTCTCTATCGAATTAAGCAAAAGCAGGGGCTGAAAACACTGGGGCACTGTGCGTGGGCTACACACTGGTGCGGTTCAAAGGCAATATTAAGAACTGTAATAAAAAAAAGACTGCTTCCTTCAGTGAGACCAGCAACCTGCCGCAAGCCCGCCACACCGCAGACATACCCCCACTTATGACCAAGATGGATGGGTGCCTATTAAAGGTTTCTTACCCAGACTAGTAAAACGGTCTTAACCAAAAGCTAGCAAGCTAAGCAGGATCTTTAAGCCAAGCAAATGGAAATGGAAAATTTTGCAGGACACACTAAAAACTGCGCTGCACAACTGCAGATGGCTGTCATGTGGTGCAGCCCATTTCAGTGTGGTCAGCTAATGCAACACACATGCTGGTGAGCACCCTGGGACCAAAGCAGAAGACTCTCTTTGGAGCAGCCTCTCCTCGATGTGGTCTGGCAGGCAGTGAATGGCATGATACTTGAAAGGAAAGTCTGAGAAATGAGCACACCATTATGGCATTGCTTTGAGATCCTCCATCCTCCTATCTGGATCAGGCAAGGCGGCCGCCCGCCCCAGCAGCGCCCATCAGCCGGAGCGGCAGCGGCAGAAGGAGTGCAGCACTGAGCTGCGGCTCCCAGCTCCCCGGAGAGCAGCGACACGGCTCCCCCAGCATCCCGCGCGGCCCTCTGAGGGGAGCAATGGCCGACGGGGGAGAGCTGAGACCACAAACACAAAGCCGTGGCCCAGAAGGGCTCCACTGTAAATTCGGAGAAATCCTTAAAATCAAATTTGGAAGACGGATGCGTCGGCTGAACGCTTTCTTCAGCGTGGCCAACTGGTCCAGCGTGACCCGTCACCTACGTGTCCCCCATGACGGGCATGGCACCGCCGCGAAGCGGGAGCAGCACCGGGAGCCAGTCCCCCAGCGCCTGCCCATGCAGAGACCCATGGGCTGTGGGCAGAGGGGAGGGGGGCAAAAGGGAGCACCCCTTGCTTTCAAAGGTTTGGGATTACGCCCCAGGTCATCAGCAACTGAGGGCCTCAGTGGCCCCGTGACTGCACCAGGAACTGTTATCACCCTACCGAGGCAGGCTCCGTGGAGGCAGGGAGCATTGAGCCGGAGTGCAGGATGACAGCTGAGCTCTAACTCTGCCTCCGAAGCCAGCCCTTTCCTCAGCCGGTGGTGGAGAACACGATGTCCCCTCTTAACTCACACCAAAGAAGAGCTGCCTGAATTGTCTCACCGCAGAGCTGATGGGCCCCCATCTCCACGGGTGCCTCTGTTTCACTCCTATGAAAATCTCTACTTGTGTGAAGAATTCAGTGGAATGAAATCCATGTAAAATTAGACTAAAAGTGGTGAATCACACTCAAAGCATGCAAAACATTTCCAAAGTTATAAATGTTATGTATTTTCACAAGTGAAACAATTATTCATGGCCTCACTTACTCTTGGGTAATGGTTCTGAGACAATACGTACTCGCTGATGTGAATAACTATAGAGGATGCTGGAGACTTTTGGCCTACTCTTAATTCTCTTTTACCTTATCCAATCATATACCTGTAGGCATTGTAGAGATTCCTCTTTTCGTTCATACTCTGACACCGTCCCTCAACAGAACAGGGCAGGGTGAAGTTCCTTGCAGGAAATTCCATAAAGCAGTCGCTGTTACTGGTGCAAGAGCTCTCCTCAATGCTGGCATCGTCCAGGTCTGTCACCTTCAGTTCCCCATCCACGATCACAAACTGCCGAGGGCGAAAATCCAGTAATGTCACGGAGCCAAGAGGAGAATGAGCCAAATAATGCAGAAGCCGAACTAAGCTGAGACATATCTGAAATGCAAAAACATGGGTACCTTGCGTTATTTTCTCAGTACAAAGTATATAAATGAAAATACTTTAGCTGAAGACATATTCATAAATATATGACTTAATATAAGCATTATAACTTATCCTCAGAACTGAATGTTGCAATTAAGGTATTTTTCAAAAGATTAACATAGTTCACTGTAAAACCCTTAGAGACTTGAAACAAAAATAAGCTGCTTTACCAGTGCTTTCCCACACTATTCTTGAAGCAGAGCTCATTGTTGCTATTCTTACTTTTAACAGAAATAAAAGCATTAACTTTTAATAACACGTTACACACAGCCCTTGACCATGCAGCCTGATTCTGCTCTTTTACAAACTCCAGGTCTGGAAGTTTTGGCCGGACTGCCCTGCGCCCGCGCCTGGAGCTCCAACTGCAGACGGTGTCCGTATTGCCTCTGTACCGATCCCGTCTTTCAACTGCTTTTATAATTATTTTCCACTGATTTCTCTTTTGTTTGCCTTTTTCCAGGGGAGAAGGAAGCAAATTCCCAGAAAGAGGAGCTCCACAGCTCCTCCATAACTCTTCACCGTGCCTCAGGGTAAGCATATATATCCATCTACCTTGGTGGACCCTGATGTGCCACTCTGAGGCTGGGGTGGGAGCTCTGTGCTGATGCTGCACTTTACAATTGCACGTTAGAAACCTGAATAACTATTACTAGACAGCAAACTCGATGAACATTGACCTCAGTCCCCTTACCAAAGTGCTCTTTTCAATTCATGCATTCCTTTAGAGTCCGCTACGTAACGTATGAAGGCAAATGTAGCATTAATATGAACGCAGTTAAATACTGGAATTTTTATTCTATGTATTAAATTAATAACAGGTCTTACTCAGTCTAGCAAGCTTTTTATTGTTTATATATAATCTTTGTTTTCTGTCCAAATACACTGTTAAGGCCACGTGTATTGAAGTAGCCAAATCCAAATTCAGTCTCAGGGCATAAACCGTATACTCAGGGGAGCACCTAAACGCGTCCTTCGTAAGAAAGCTGAGCATGTCTGAAGTTATCTCTCACAGACCCTTCCCCTATGGGACATTAGGACTCTCACACTTCTATAATCATTCTCCTGCTTGACCAGACTAGAACGTTTTAGTCCTACTTATAGGATACCACAGTTCACACGGAGATGCCTGTAGGCGTAGATGAACGCAGGCCTGGTTATGGGACACCAGACTTGACCACCCTTTCCTCCCTCCGGAAGGACACAGGATTCATGTACATGCCATCCTGCAATATGCTGTATATAAAAGGCACATCCAGCCCAAACTAACCTATAATACACGTATCTTCAATTGCCAATCAACGCAGAATTTAGCCTGAATAAAAACACAGGTTGTCATCTGAAATTACTGCCTTTTCTCAAACGCCAAAAAGCCCCTGCTCCTACACTGGCAGCCTCTGTGACCAGGCTGAGCCCCGATGGGCTGCTGCCCTGCATACCTGCTGCCAGGCAAATGCCCCTGGACGACAAGCTTTAAGCACACAGATGAAGGCTTTGCTCAGTATCACACACCCCTGCTGAGCGCAGAGGTGCTGATCTGGGGAGCGAGCTTACTGCTGAGTCCTTCAACGCAAGGAAATTATTTGTAGGAATAAGGGCAAATATTTATGCAGCCATTTTCAGGACCAGACCACAAACAAGCCTCACATATCAAGAAGATACGGTTTTATTTCCTCCTCCTCTGTGTTAGTTGCCTCCTAGAGAAGCTAACGAGCATGACATTGTTTAAGATGTCGTTACAGCAGTCACAGGAATGTTTCATCAGTAATTCCACCTTTGTGGATCAGCTCAGCACCTTCATCTAATTCTTCATCTCCCTTTCCAATTGCTCACTCAAAAATGTCCATGCTGGACGGAAACTTCCCTGTTTATTACCCATAATCTAACATATCTCTTGGTCATTTACTTTGTACGTAGTTGCCATCACAGCCCATTATTTGCATTCCCTGGATCAGATGAGCCGAAGACAGGTCCTGTATTTCGGGAGCCGTGACGAATACCTCTACCACTTATTAAGACCGTACTTCTTTCAGGAAAAGGGAGCTGAAGCTGAGTGCAAGGAATACACTTACTCCATCTCTATTAATAAAATAAACTCTGCCAGGGAACATTCCTGGGCACAGAAACTTAATCCCACACGCACACTCGCCAGCACGGTCTCTGCCCGGGTCTGAGCGGGACCAGGGCTGCTCTCCTGCGCGGTCCCCAGACACCATCCAGAAGGCAGCACGGCCCAGGGACCGCTTCCGACGGGCCTCCTGCACGCAGCCACAGGCCTGCGGAGCGTCCGGGAATTCAATAGTACAGGCACGGGCTGCACCTTGCTGGTTCGCCTCCGAGATCAGTCAGGCGCACTTTTAGTTTTCTGGTACAGATGTAGCCATGCAATCCAACGTGTTTCAGATGAAGACTGCTGCCGCCTTGCAACATCTTAGGGAGTTAACCGCAGCCGACGACACATCCCGATATACACTGAGCGAGACAGCGCTGTCTTGATCAAAGCATTGCTGCAGTCTGGCTTCATTTCGGACAAATTAAGTGGGACCTTCGTGCTCCTGGTAAATTGCCAACGCGGTGGACAACCTGGGTTTGAGATCTGTGTACATTTATTTCACTCT